TCTCTCTCTCTCTCTCTCTCTCTCTCCCCTCCTCCTCCTCCTCTTCCTCCTCTCTTTCTCTGTATCTCTCTCTCCTCTCTCTCTGTCTCTGTATTTATCTCTCTGCCTCTGTTTCTATCTCTGCTTCTCTTTCTGTCTCTTAGTCTCTCTCTGTTTCTCTGTCTCCCTGTGTCTCTCTTCTCTGTTATCTCTCTGTCTTTCTGTATCTCTCTGTCTCTTCTCTCTCTGTTTCTGTCTCTCCTCTTTTCTCTGTCTCTGTATTTATCTCTCCGCCTCTCTTTCTGTGTCTTGGTCTCTGTTTATCTCTTTGTCTCTGTCTCTCTTTCTCCCTCCATCTTTCCTTCTCTGTCTCTGTCTTGTCTCTGTCTCTCTCTCTCTTTCTCTCCGTCTCTGTCTCTGTCTCTCTCTGTCTCTGTCTCTGTCTCTCTCTCTCTTTCTTCCCTTAGCTCTGCCTCCTAGAATCCCAGGGTTTCTCCAAAGCAATTGACCACCTCTTCCGGGAGGCCTTGGTAACCTTAGGACCTGGTCCATAGCAGGCACTTCCTAAGCGCTCCTCCTGGTCACATCCTCATTTATCCAGAAACCCCTCGTTGGAGGGGAGAGCCTCCACTTCTGCCTCTTGCTCTAAGTCAGCTACTTTGACACGGTCCACAATCAATCAAAATGAGGTCTATCAATTGATTGTGTGATGGTGAAGATTGGAGGTCAGGAGAGTCAGAATAATATGGCACCCTAGGGTGTGCCTCATACCCTTCTGGGCTGGCTGGGTGACCTGTGCCAAGCTATTTGACTTTCCTTATTTGTGCAATGGAGGGAATAAATACCAACTGGAGCACTTTCCCTCCCCCCACCCTCCAGGTCAGGCTGTTGTGGAGATCAAAGGAGATCAGACCTGTCCCTACAACTCTTGGCAAACCTTCCAGTTCCATCTAATACAAATATTCCTTATTGTTACCCCTCTTTTTGTCCTCTCCAAATGAGTCTCCATTTGCCAAAGTCTGCACGATCCCTTCTCATGTTTTCTATGGCCAGAAGCGCAGAATCTGAGAGCTGGAAGGGTCAGACTTTTGTGGCTATGGAGTCAAACTCAGATCCTAAGAAATGGTTACCCAGCCTCAGCATGGAGCCTCCAAGGCGAGGCAGAGCACCCCCTCCGCAGGCAGGGTATTCCACTCTGGGCCAGCTCTCCAGTTAGCCAGCTGGCCCAGCTCTCTGGCCTCAATTTGCTGGCTCCGTCCCTTCCCCCACATGGCTCTGCCCTCGAGGCCCAGCAGAACCCGAGATCCGTTCTGAGGCCCTTCTCCTGGCCCTTGGGTCTTCTCTACCTCAGGCTAAACATGCAGAAATCCTTCAAGCAAAGCTCACTTTGGCTACTCTCCAGCTCACCTGAGTCCTTAAGAGCCGATCTATGTACATGCCCCAGCCAATAGCAGGGTATGAAAGCTAGCCCGAGGCCATCTAGGGGATTAGCATTGTGGACCTGACAGCAAGTGCTAGCAGGTTTCACAGGCTTGGATTGTAGACTGCTAAGCCTCCCATCTTGTAAGTAGCACAGCTGGGATTTGAACCCAGAGCCTCCCACTCCACCCTGCTACCTCCCCTAAGCTTTCTGAGTAACAAGGAGCTTTCTGGGGCATAGCCACTGGACCTGAGCCAGGTGGCCCTCTCTGCACAACCAGTGGAAAAAGAAGGTGCTCAGCAAACAGGTGGGAAAGATCTCGGCTTGCTCACACACACAAAACTTGGAGTGTATACGTGTGCGCATGCCCGCGCGCGCGCGCGCGTGCTTGCACACACACACACCCCTAGGCACACACATAACTAGGCACAAGCCTATTCACACACGGTGGTTCCATCAGAAGTTTGTGCCTAGCTCAAACCCCAAGTTTGGCCTCCTCCTCCTGCCCAGGTCACCAAATGGGCTCCCATAGGGTGCTGGCTGCCAAGAATGCTATGACCCTAAGGCCAAGGGAACCGTGGGGCAAGACAGCCAAGGCCACAGCTCCAAGGGGAAGTAGAGGGAAAGTCCTGGGACTGATTCAGCCACCAGAGACGTCAGAGTCTCAGGCATTGCTCCACAGTAAGGGGCCAGTCAGGGGTCACTGTCCCACCGGTGACCCCTCTGTCCCCAGGGCAGCCCCTCAGTTCTCCCTTGAACCCCCAGAGCTTCCAGTGTCCCTCCCTCTTCCCCGCTGAATGGAGCTCAGTCCACGTTTAGACTGTGTGGGATCAGGCTGAGCTAGGGTGGGGGGTGGGGAATTATGAGCCCCCAACTGCAGCCTGGACTAGCCCTACTGGGCTGCCACAGGGGTGTGAGTAAGCGGAAATGGGGGGGGGTGGACGCCCTCTGCCTGTGGTTTCCCAGCCCCCAGCCTGCCCGCTGCCCCGCCCCTCCACCCCCTCCCTCGCAGCTGGGTTAAATAGGAGCCCAGAGGCCAGGCAGCAGCAGTGATAGCGGCAGCAGGGCTCTCCTCTCCCAGACTTGGACATTGGCTCCTGCTGCGGTTCCTGCTGCTGCTGCTGCCTCCAAGTCCAGGTAAGGGGAGATAGGCCCGCCAGGCTGGCAGGCCCTGTGGCAGCCGGCCCCCTCCTGGGCCCAGCACTTAGCCACCAGCTCTGCCAACCCGGCAGCCCTGGCTGAGCCCCACAGAAGAGCGGGCAGAGCTGGCTCTGTCTCAGGAGCCAAGCAGGGGGTAGGGGCAGGAACAAGGGGCACAGTAACCTTTTCCCTGAAAGCTGAACAGAGAGAGCTGCAGCCCCCCCCCCACCCCATCCCCTTCTTCCATGCACAGGCTCCCTGAACATCCTGGAAATGGGTATGTCTGGCCTCTTTCTGGCCTTGACCTTCCTACTCCTGGCCACCACAAGGCTGCCTGTGAAGGCCTGCAGCTGTGGCCCTCGGCATCCTCAAGAGGATTTCTGTGGGTCAGACGTGGGTGAGTAGGGCACTCCTGCCCCCCAGCCTCCTCCCAGGCTCCCACACACACACACACACACACACACACACACTGCCCCCCAGGCCTCTCCTCCAGCTTTGGGGCACACAGCTGAGCTGGGGATGAGGGAGGGGAGAAGAGAGTGGGAGTGGGGGCGGTGCCTAGGCTCATTAACCCTTTCCTTTGCCCCACCAGTTGTCACGGCCAAATTCCTGTCAGTCCCCCAGCTCAACCACACCCTCCATCATCTGCAGTATAAAATCAAGGTTATCAAGGTATTACAATCCTGCCCTCCCCCCCCAGCCATACTACCTCTAGCCTCTTAACCCTCCACTGAAATTCCTCCCCCTTGATCTGTAATTCCATCCAGAAGTTCAAAGGCTTTGACGATGTGGGAGGCATTACTCTGGTCCCAAAGTTCCTTACCACCCCAGCTGAGGAGAGCCTCTGTGGCTACCAACACAAAGCCCTGTCTAAGAACCAGGAGTATCTGATTGCAGGTAAGAATCATGCTTAACACCTAACCTGACTGTATTGTTTTATACATGAGGCAAGTGGGGGACGTAGATGTGCAGAGACTCCTCCAAGGTCACACAGCTCCCACTTGAACCCGGGCCTACAAAGGGATACTTCTTTCCTAGTCACATGATCCTGTTGGCTGGAATCTCTCTAGACTATGATGTTATTATGTTACAAATCAGGGAATGGAGGCTTGGAGAGGCCACACAGCCAGAGGCGGGAATCAAGCACACCCTTCTGTTGCTTGAAAACACTGAGGAGGAAACTGATCCCAGGGAGGGGAAGGAATCTAGAATCCTAGAATGTCAAAGCCAGCTATGGACCCTCAGGCATCTTCATTTTACAGAGCCCAGGAAGAGGCAGGAACACCGCAAAGTTCTCTGATTCCAAACCCAGTGCTCCTTCCTGGGGAAAGATATACCACATTCTTCTAAATGAATCCAATAGAAAGGGGCACACCCCAGCGGCCCCTTAGCTTATCTGAGCTATAGAAAATACCAGCCCCCTCCCCCTTCTCTTGCCCCATCCCCAGCAGTCCCTTCTGGTTACTTGGCAACAGGGCAAGGGGTAGCTGAAGAGAGATGGAGCAACCCAATCATCTCCCAGGCTAGCTCCATCCTGGCTGCGTGGTTGCTTAGCAACAAGGAGGGACCTGGTCTGGGAGGGGGGGATTAAACGCACTGCAGCTGAGCCCAGCCAATCAGGGGACACTCTGCCCCATTCTTCCCCTACCCCCTCCCTTCTCCCTAGCACGCCTACTGGCAGGCCAGCTGTACGTCACCACCTGCAGCTTCGTGAGACCCTGGAGTAGCCTGAGCCCAGCCCAGCAGCTGGGCTTCAACCAGACCTATGCCACCGGCTGTGGTTGCCAAGTAAGTGAGTGTTCTGGGAGACCTGGCAGGGGAAACTCCAGGCTGGTGTCCCTACTGACTTCTCACTTCCTCCTTCAGGTGCAGCACTGCCTGAGTGTCCCCTGCAATGTGGAGAGTGACACCAGCTGCCTGTGGACAGATTCACTGATATCCTCCGCAGGTGAGGGCTCCCAGAGCCTCCACATGGCCTGCCTGCCAAGCAAGAGCGACTTTTGCTCCTGGAAATCCCTGAGCACTGAGGCACCACAGCTGACAATATGAGCTGGCCCAGAGCTCCCTTCTCTCCATCCTTGCCTCCTTCTAAGAAATCACGGCCAGTAAAATACGTAGAAACCAGGCTACTGGCTCTGTGTATGTGTATTATCTGTGTGTGTGTGTGTGTGTGTGTGTGTGTGTGTGTGAGAGAGAAAGAGAGAGAGAGAGAGAGAGAGAGAGAGAGAGAGAGAGAGAAACAGAGCGAGAGTGAGACAGAGAGACAGAACATGAGTGAGTGTGTCTACAACAGTCCTGCTGCTTTGGGTGAGGTGCCATTGGGGTACAGTATTGTTATTCCCATTTTAAAGGTAAGGGAACTGAAGCTCACAGAAATGATGACTTGGCCATGGTTATCCAACTAAATGCCAAAGCTGAACCTTTAAATTTGGTCTCCCCTGACTCCAAAGACATACACCTTGTGACCTTGGGTGAGACTCTCCTTTCCTCTGTCAGCTCTCAGGAGGCTTAGGAGCTGGAAGGGCCATTTCAGAGGTAAGGAGAAGATTTGACCAAGCCTGGCTTCCAACTTAGGTCATCATAACACAACCTCATGAAATCACAGAATGTCAGAGTGAAAAAGGACACTAGTGTAGATTCTACAGAGGATGAAAATGAGGCTCAGAGAGAAGAGACTTGCCCAAGGTCACACAGCTTAGCCTTTGATTTGAATCCTGGTTCTTTGCCTCTAATACATCCCAGTTGCCTCCAACTGACTTTGACAGAGTCACAGATGTGACCATATGAACTCCCCAGGGCAGATCAAGTAAAACTCCTTACCCTGACATTCAAAGCCTTCCACAAATCTTGTTCCCACCTCCCTTCTGAGCCCAAATTTCTTTTTCTTCACATTTATGAACTCTAGGTTCCAGCTAAACTAGCTTCCTAGCTGTTCCCCAAACTGAACATCCTATCTCTCATCTCCATACATTTGCTGAGGCTGTACCCCTTGCCTGAAATGCACTCCTCCTAGAATCCCTAACTTCCTTTGGCAGTCAATTCGGGCACCGCCTCTTCCAATTCCCCAACTGTCGATTCTCTTATTTCTCTGTGCACGTGCCGAGGCTCCCAGTGGAATGGTAGCTCCCGGAGGAGAGGGGCTCTTTTGTTTTGGTCTTTGTAGCCCCAGGACCCTGAACACTAGAAAGTGTCTAATAAGTGCCTGTTGTTGAATTGAGGTGTGGAAACTGAGGTCCAAAGTGGGGAGGTGACTTGCCCATCCTGGCACCAATAGTGATGCCAGAGCTAGGACTTAACCCTCAGTGCTCTGGCCTTGGCCTCATGGAGCCCATTCTTGAGCCAGCTTCTCCCCAGACACACTCACCATCTCCTTGTGGTTGGGATAGTAGGTCTGGTCAATGAGGGGAAACTCCTCAGCTCCCAGTTTCTTGTGCAGTCGAACCATCTGGGCAAACTAGGTATGGGAAAGGGAGAAAGAAAGAGCAGTGAGGAGGAGAAGGCCCTTCCTGGCAGCCCCACTGTTCCCCAAGGATGGGGACACTCACCACCCATGGCTTGTCGCAGAAGTTGTATACGGAGTGCAAGGAATTGACGCTGGGGATGCCTGCATACTGCAACCCGATGACCAGGCTTCGATAGTCTCCATTTCGGGCCATGCTGAAGGCATGCTGTCGGATCAGCACGAAGTCTGGCTTCAGGGACCTACAGGAGGGGGTGGAGAGGAGGAGAAGGAAGGGGGGAGGGAGGAGGGACAGGAGGAGGAGGAGGAGGGGGAGAAGGAAAAGGAGAGAGAGGAAAGAGGGGAGAAGGGGAGGGAGAGGAGGGAGGGAGGGAAGGAAGAGGAGGAGGAAGAGGTGGAGGGGAGGGAGGGGAGGAGGAGAGCTAAATGGCAGCAAGCTTGAACTTAACACTCTCTCTGTCTTCCCAAAGGCCTTCTCCCTGCCTCAACTATCCTCCACATTCGTTCTTCCCCCCACAGTATGCTCCTTGATGACATGGTTCTATGCTGTTTGGTATTAAACCTAAGGGGAAAAGCCTCTTCCCTCCCCTCAAGGGCTGCCCCCAGCCTGGGCCACTCACCGAACCACCTTCACTCCATTCCGAATCACCTCCATGTCCACAGAGAAGCTGCCATTAGCGTGGGCCACCAGGTTCAGGTGGGAGAACTCAGCCTGGGAGGCGAGAAGAGGGCGGGGCTCAGCCAAGCTCTGGCTGGCCTCAACCCCACCAAACACCTGCCTGTTATCCCTCCCCACTCCAACAGCATGGCATGGCGAAAACCCTGCTGGACAGAGAGGCAGGCCAGACCTGGGTTGACTTCTCAACCTCGTCACTCATTTGCACTAGGAAAAGTCCTCAGTGAATGAGTGAGCCTCCCTGCTCCATGGCCATCCTGGGGAAGGAAGCCCAGGGCCCTGATCATGACTGCCTTCGGGCCAGATAAACAGAAGGCGCACCTGCTCCACCTTGATGTCAATGTCCCCGTGAATCTTCTTGCCCTTGAAGTATCTGGCCCTGGAGAAGGAGGGATGAGATATAGGAATCAGTCAGCTCTAGGTGAGGGCCAGGAAAGAGAAGTCTGAGCCCTTCCTTCTTCATCACTCCTGATCTGGGAGGAAAACAGACCACTCCTGGCCAGGGGCTTGTTCTTTTTGGGGGACATTGACATCAAGGTGGAGCAGGTGCGCCTGCTGTTTATCTGG